AAGTCAAACTTCAAAACTCAGGAAAAGTGGAACATTACATTATGACCTCTGATGAACCTAGCCTATGTAAGCCTGAGAGACCTCCCCCCCCCAAAAAAAAAAAACCCTCAACCTCTGCTGGACTCAGCTAGAAATCTCAGCGTGTATCCCTCCATCTCACAGCAAGGATCAGCAGAAGGGCCCTGGTGTTCACTGTCCCTTGTCTTCCTCAGGTTTAAACGTCTAGACTGTACTATGATTCACCAAGCGTGTTGGCAGAACATGGGAGTAAGCCTCTAGGGTGAGGTTCATCCCTCAGAGAATCAAAATGAGAAGCCTTGTCCCCTACAGCTCGACTATCAGATTGATTCCCTAGAGCCTGGGCTAGGATTCTAAGGATACTTTTCTTTGAAACTTGAGAAAACAATCAAGTACTAGGGGGTTAAATCTCCCTATGTGTTCGGAAAGAAGTAGATGTTACCTCCTACAGGACACATACACACATACACACTTGAAAATTTAATAATTTTTTTGAGACAAGGTTTCTCTGTGTATCCCTTGCTGTCCTGGAATTCAGTATAGAGACTGGCTGGCATCAAACTCACAGATATCCTCCTGCTTCTGCCTGCTTTGGGATTAAAAGCATGTTTGTTTGTTTTGGAGACAGGGTCTCATTATGCAGCCCTGGAAGGCCTGGAACTTGATATGTAGACCAGACTGGCCTTACACTCATAGAGATATGCCTGTCTGTCTCTGTCCCATGAATGCTAAGATTAAAGGTCTGTGCCAAAATTCTTTGCACATTTTAAAAATTTTTTTGTTATTCTTGATAACAAAGAAACCCAGGAAATATTTTTTTAAAAAAAATGAAAAGGAGAAGCGTATGTTCAGGTGGGTCGCCCGGAGGGTTTGGAGGAGTTAAAGGGAAGAGATGGTAGTGAACATGATCAAAGTACGTTCCATATTTGTATGGAATTCTCAAAGAACTAATGAAGTACATTTTTTAAAAAAGAAACAAACAAAAAAAGGGCAGATAATGTCCTGAAGAGCAACACCCATGGTGTACACGCATGTATACACAAACACACACACACAGGTAAAACACACCAGGGATAGGAATAATGGTTCCGTGTCCTGCACTGCATAAACTGAGCATGATAGCACACAAACACAATCTCGGCACTCAGGAGGTGGAGGCAAGAGGATCAGAGACTCAGCATCATCCTCAGCTACACAGTGAGTATAAGGCCAGCCTGAGATACGAGACTCTCCCTCAACAAGAAAAAAAAAAAAGTAGATTTGAAATGAGGAAATGGCTCAATGATAAAGTGATGATTTAAAATCATTTTAAGGTGCACAAGGCTTGGATTCTATCCAAGAACAACAACAACAAAAAGGCAACCAAACAACAAAAATTAAACCCACACATTCTCCCCAAAAACCAAAACAACAACAACAAAATGTATAGTTGGTGCAGAGCCCACAGGGCCTGATATACAAGGAAGTACCAAGATATCAACTGCAACACTCCAGCCCTCACCTAGCCTTCGGGGGTGAGGGGGAAGGCTGCATTGCAGGAAGTAGGTGGTGGAGTAAGTAGATGGGAGAGAAAGAAGCAAGCAAATAGATGGTGGAAAAATGGAACCCATGAGAAGCTGACCAGTTTGTGTGCTATGAAGTGGGGCAAAACTGAGAGCCCAAAGGTGGTTGCTATTCTTGCTCTTTGGGAAATGGTAAATTACACTGCCCATCAACAGCAAACACTAGTGCCAGTGGGCCTATGCCTTCTTCCTTTAAGAAAACTGACCACTGTATGAGTTGCAGTGACTCCCAGAGCTGCACCCTAGCCCAGGGAAAAGCAATACCTGCAGAATGGAGACCCACAACTGACTTACATGTCCTGCTGTGTTCACGTCTCATCATTGGCTTATCTGCTAATCTCTCTAGTTGGCTGTGGTGGAGACTCGACCATGAGACTGCAGGACTCTAGATTGAATTGCAGTTTTTCTCTGCTGTGTTTAACTTTGACCAAAGATTTATTTCCTTCGGAATCTTTGGATTGGACAAAATCTGAAGACACCCAGAGGTCCCACCCACCATGTGGCCTACTACATCGTGAGTCACTATGATGTGCGAGAACTGGGTGAGGAGGCAAGAGAGAAAGAAACAGAATGCTTCGAGCACTATGGAGAGAGGCTGATCTGGACGTGTGAGGGTGGGGAGAGTATCTTGGTATGAATAGCCTGCAATGCCACATGAGGTCACATTGAAATCCCGGCCCATGCTGCCTCTGAGGTCCATGGATACGCAGCAGCAGAGGTCTATGTAGACATTAACACCATATTAACACCAAAGGCCATGTGGATGTCCCTGTCTGGGCTGCTACCAAGGGCTATGCAGAGCTGGCCCCACCCCCTCACTGGCTGTAGCATTTGGAAGAGTGAGGTCCCACATCTCATCTTCCATGCAGTGAGTGACATGGGTGAAGGAGAAATCCCCCACCCCCTTACTACCTTTGGCAGGCAGAAGAGCTGGCCCTGGGGTCATGAGAGTTGGAGAGCTGGCCTGCCCCTCACCAGCTGTAGTAATCAGGACAGCAGACCGTGTACCTCACCTGGGCAGCACAGTAGAGCTGGCCCTGGTGGCAAGGATGTGGATGAGCCGGCCTGATGGACATGAGAGCAGGAGAGCTAGCTCTGGCCCGTGTCAGCTGCAGCATTGGTTGAACTAACTAGAGCAATGCTGGAGAGCTTACCCTGGTGATGTGGGTGCAGGGGAGCTGGCAGGCTAACTCAGCTACCACCCAGGCCCAGATCCAGGCTATGAGAAGGCCCACCCCAATATCTACCCCATCTATGAACTGCTGGAACATGTAAAGGAAGTGGTCCTGCAGATCCAAAGCTACAGGATCTCCATGACATGGGACAACAACAGGATATGTGGTAAGAGTCCCTGTGTGGATCCAGTATTGATAGTGTAGCAAAAGCTAGAGGCTTCAGATCAGACCAATGGCTCTTTACAATGACCATCTGCAAGTAACGTTGTGTGGATAAAAAGGTATACTGCAGCACACAGTGTGTGACACACTACACCTTCCACAGCAAGTTGTTTGGCTGTCTGTTGTTACTTTCTTTTGAGGAGGAGGTTGCAAGGCCAGATACAAAGGGATGGGAGATGAGTGGGATGGGGTACATGATACGAAAGTCACAAAGAATCAATAAAAAGGTTTTTTTAAAGCAGTGTAGTCAAAGAGGACCTTGAACTTCTGATCTTCCTACCTTCACCTCCTCAGTGCTGGATAACCCTGTTTATGCAGAGATGAAACCCAGGGCTTCGTGAGTACTAGACAATAACTCTGTTAGATGAACCATATCCCTGGCCCCTGGCAGCAACTTTTACTCTTACAGTTGGTCTTTGGCTCCAAATCCTAACACAAAGCTTCAAAGAGCTTGGGGTTTCCTGCATGACACTGAGTTTCCTGAGTGTGTCAAGGCTGGTCACAAGGAAAAAATGAGCCATTGATTAGATTTCTGTTCTACTCCTCGAGATCCAAACAGGGCATAAGGGTTGAAAGTGAAGTTAATAATCAATCATGCTGTGTGGAAACACCGCCATAAAAATATTTAACTGTGAAGTTCAAAGTGTTTCCAGATTGGCAAACACATGTGTGTGCCAGGAAGATAGTGCATCCCTGTTCTGTGACACTTTTCCTGGGGAGTTGTCAACAAATGCTTACTCACCACAGATCAAAGTAACACCACCACCAAAGTTGGTCTTGACAAACCAGTAAGTTTACTGGGGTTACTTACAGGAGCATGTCTGACAGAAAGGCAGCTGCATCACTGAAAGCCCATGCTGGCCTGAGTGCCTACTCCCAAAACCTGCCATTCTGGCTGTCTCCTCTCCTAGCAGTAATCACTGCTGCTTGTAAAACCTTTGCAGGGAGGGATCTTGTTCATCTGTTAAGTTTCATGGACTTCCTGACACTTGTGAGCCAATAACTTTCTGAATCTTAAGGAGCCTCCCTCCAGGATGCACATGGAGGTCATATGACAAACTCAGGTGTCAGCCTTCACCTTACACCTTGCTTGAAACAGGGTCTCTTGTTCACTGCTGCGTTCAGGGGTTCTCCTGTTTCCACCATCTTACTATGGGAGTTCTGGGATTACAAGCACACTCATATCCTAACATGTGCATAGCAAACTCTTTATCCGCAAATCATTATTGCCTCAGTCAGTCCCGTTTGGGTTTAGTTTTTGTTTGTTTGTTTGTTTGTTTGTTTGGGTTGTTTTTTTGAGACAGGGTCTTGCTTTGTATCCCAGGCTATCCTCAAACTTGCACTGTAGCCTAGGCTGGCCTCAAGCATGTGATTATCCTACCTTTAGACTCCTTGAGCAACGCCAATCTTAGTTCATCCATAGCCTTCGTAACAGCCTATAGAATAATCAAGAAATATAAGGACAGTGCTTCCCAGAGTGTTGAGAGAGGATGACTTATCAGAAGATGGCTAAATAAAGGAGGTGGTTGGAGTCACAGGAACCCTGATTTATTACAAGTAAGTCAGAAGTATAGGTACTAACCCCCTGAGGGCATACTACACACCAGACATCACTGTGAATACTTACTTTTTAATAGCTTTTTAAAATTTTTATTTTTTAATTCTTTGATCATTTTACATATGTATGCATTTTGACCATTTTTACACACTCATTGTCCTCTTGTTCCTCTCTCTCCTGTTATTGTCTTCTTTCTAACAAGTCCCCCACCTAACCATTCATACCTTTGTACTTTTGTGTATGGCCATTGCATTTAATTAGGGTTGCTTGCCTGAACACAGGTGGGGGATTATATATTGGACTATGGGCAACTTACTCAACCCACACTTTGGAAAAAAAAAAAAGACTCCCTTCAATGTTGATGATTCCCAGCAATTATCAACAGCCAATAGCTCCTCAGCTACTGGTTAGGCCTTTAGCGTAGTAGGTCTTTACTCATACATGCTGAGATATTGGTGGGTCCAGTCTTGTACAGGAAACTGTAGCTTCAATGAGTTCATTGTCATGCCTAGAAGACAGCACTTCAGGGGACTCCTCCCATCCTCCAGCTGGTGCTTACTCTGAGTCATTAATTTAATTGTCGGTCTTTCTGGACATCATCCTGTGAAATAAACAATGCTAGTACTGTTCTCCTTCTACAAATGGGAAAACTGGGGCTCTGAGAGTTTTTGTGTTTAATGGATCAGTTTCATATGGCTGTATCCTTAACCTGTGGAATCATATAATCTGCACGTAGATGGTGTCAGATGGTTGATCACTGGGACCCATATGGTGAGAAGAGAGAAGCAACTCCCAAAAGTGGCCTCTAACCTCCACTTGCTCACAGTGGCATGCACTCATGCACTCACACACAAATGCACACACAGTAAATATGTGTGTGTGAGTGTGAGTGTGTGTGTGTGTGTGTGACACATTGAAGCCAAACATAGTGGCATGTGTCTATAACTCTTGGCATTTTAGAGGTTTGTTGGTCAATTAGGGAAATTGGTTCCAGTTTGTTAGTAGTAGTTGTGCTCAAAGAAGAAACAAAAGGAAAAAACTTAGATTCAGACCTCTCTCTCTCTCTCTCTCTCTCTCTCTCTCTCTTTCTCTCTCCCCTCTATCCGTCTTTCTCTCTATCCTAGTGATAGGAGGTGAAATTGGAAGCGGGAGATAAAAGGGGGGAGAAGAACCCAGAAGTAGCAAAGACCAGCTACAAACACACACAGTGAGTCAATCAATGTAAACATTTTTTAAAGGAAAGAATGGAAGATAGAAAAAAGGGGGAAGAAGAGAAGGAAAGGGAGAGAGCAGATACGGTATGAGAAGATACTTTCTGTTTGCTTATGGTTGATCAGCTCTTGGTCCACCTCCATGGTGTTTCACAGGATTTATCGATGCTCCCTACACCAGGTAAAGGGATGAACCATTACCTAGGAAGTTCAGGGCATGATCACAGCCTAGAGTAAGGACTCTTTTCCTAGGGGTAAATCCCTGTCAGCAAAGTGATGGGTGGAAAAAGGTCTGGTGATCAGGAGTCCTTACCTAGAATGATGTAGGGTGGCATTCCTTATGCTTGTTCTGTTGGGGTTCTCCACCTTAGACTTCATATGGTTTGACTTCTTCCTATCAGTCTGAGAGTCTGTTGGGAAGTCGAGAGAAAAAGAGGTAAGTGTTCCAATAGGGATTGTAGAGATGGCTCAGTGGTTAAGATTACTTGCTGCTCTTACAGAGAGGACTGGAGTTGAATACCTAGTACCCACATGGTGGTTCACAACCATCTGTTACTTGAGTTCCTGAAGATCTGTTGCCATCTTCTGGCCTCCAGTAGCACCAGGGCCACTTGTGGTACACACAAAGTTAAAATAAATGAATTTTAAATGATTATTTTTTTTTTAATAAAAGAATTCTAACATCTAGGCATGGTGCTATAAGTCTGTAATTCCAGCACTGAGCTGAAACAGTGTGATAAAGTTTGAGCTAGCTTGTGCTACATAGCTAGCTCATAGCCAGCCAGGGTTACATAGTGACCCTTTTGTGACAGTTTCTTCTGAGTTTAAAGCCTTCCATCTTAGATGAAAGCTATTAAGACACAACTTACAGGGAGGTGAAACAACAGGATGTGCTGAGGGGAGGTGAAACACATTAGGAAATTCATTAGGCTCAGGAAGTAAATAATTAACTAGCTTCAGAAAGACCCTGAAACTGATCAGATTCACTCTGCTACTCGATTCCTAAAGGTATATAACCAGGAAAGACTGCTTCAAAACACTCAAATTTAGCTAAGCAAGTGAGGCACAGAGCAGCCAAGCCTCCTGGAAGAGACACTCCCCAACTTGTTTAGCTGCCTGCAGGGTGTCTAGTGTACACCAGGTTTTCAGCTTTCTTGAACCAGGTGCAGAGGGTTTTGATGAAGGTATGTATGAGCCATTTCTGCCTTTGTAAGTACCTCCTCACCCCTTTTTCTGTAAGTAACCCCAGTAGAACTCATTGGTTCCTCAGGTTGTATTTTGGTGTATGTGGCTCACAACCATCTGTAATGGAATCCAGTGCCCTCTTCTGGTGTGTTTGAAGATAGCTACAGTGTACTCACATACATAAAATAAATAAATAATACTTAAAAAAAACTTTAAAAAGAAAGGTTAAAAAAATAAAATAAAGAATTTCATCAGCTGGGCGGTGGTGGCACACACCTTTAATCCCAGCACTTGGGAGGCAGAGGCAGGTGAATTTCTGACTTCGAGGCCAGCCTGGTCTACAGAGTGAGTTCCTGGACAGCCAGGGCTATATAGAGAAACCCTATCTCGGAAAAAAAAAAAAAAAAAAAAAAAAAACAAGAAAAAAAAAAAGAATTTCATCAATCCTTGAGCTGGCCCCAAGATCAGGCCACAGAATTCCACCAACCCCTGAGTTTGCCCTGAGACTAGACCACAAAATTCCTACCAATCACAGGTGATTCTGGAAAGCTCTGCCTCCCCCTCCTAGAAACCCTATATAAGCCTGTTTCCTGCCCAGTTGACGCTTCTCACCCAAGCAGAGGAAGCCATCCTCCCTCCTATGTCTTTTTTCAATAAATTTCATGTTTGAGGTTTGTTGTGTAGTGTGACTATGATAATCCTTGGCTCCTAATTGGCAGGACACCTTTCCCCTCCGAGCTGTAACACAGTACGCATATGTGAGCATGCATTTTTCCTCATGTGTGTGAGATTATTTGAATATGTGCACGTGTGCATGTCCTAAATTATTCTCTATTGCTCTTTGACCTTATTCATTGAGGCAGAGTCTCTCAGTCAAACCCAGAGCTGCCAGTTTATTATGTGAAACACATGTCTCCAAGCTCTGAGGCTAGAAATATAGGAAAACCACCACACCCACCCAATGTTTACATGGATTTCTTAGGATGCAAACTCCATACTTGGATGTTAAGCACTTTAACAGGTGAGTTATCTTCTTAGCCCCTGGGGAAAAAAAACTTAACTCGTTAATTAAAACCAAGCTGTAATGGGGAGAGAAAGCAGAGTTGGTAAAGTGCTTGTCATAAAAGCCTGAGGACCTGAGTTCTAGCCCTAGCCTCCGTGTAGAAATCCAGGCGTGATAGTATGAATTTGTAATCCCAGCACGGATGGAGCAGAAAGCCAAATCTCTTGAGTTCACTGACCAACGAGCCTAATTGGCAAACCCCACATCACAGTAAGAGACCTGGTCTCAAAAACCAAGGTGTGTTATGCCACACACCTTGAATTTCAGCACTTGGGAAGCAGAGTGGACAGGTCTCTCTGAGTTCAAGGCCAACCTGCTCTACACAGTGAGTGCCAGGACAGCCAGGACTACATTATCTCAAAACATTTTTAAAAACTAAAAACCAAACAGCAAACAAATAAAAAAACAAGATAGAGAGGCCTGAAGAGATTGGGTCAGTAGGTAAGAGTGCTTGCTCTGCAAGGTTGATGACCTGAGCGTGACCCTTACACCCTATACAAACTGTGCATGTTTCATGGCACCGCACCGTGTGAGCTTCCAAAGGAGGGAAGCAGCCAGCAGCCCCATCCAGGCTGATACCTATGAACCACAACAAGGACTAGCACGGCATGATAACCCAAAGGGTGCAGTAGTGACACACACATCTCGGTGGTAACCAACAGCTCTTTAATTTAGAACTTCTAAAAAAAAAAAAAAAATCATGCCTGGTACTGGAAACCCAGACAACAAACCAGCGAAGTCATGGCTTTTGGAAAAGAACCTACAACCACCACTCTCCTAAACCAGCATAATCCCTAACTACATTCTAAATATTTGTTCTTATACCCACAGATAAGTGCAGACTAATAAGGTTTTATTTATGTATTTAAGAATTTATGTATTTCAGAGGTCCTGAATTTGAAAGAGGGTAAGGAAGGGCATGTAAGTGAGTTAAGAGAGAGGAAAAGGAAAATGATGTAATAATTTTAATCTCAAAATTAAAAGAAAGAAAATTTTGGTTTTTTGAGATAGTGTTTCTCTGCATAGCCATGACTGTCCCAGAACTCACTCTGTAAACCAGGTGGCCTCAAACTCACAGAGTACTGCCTGCTTCTACCTCTTGAGTGCTGGGATTAAAAGCATATGTCACTCCCACCTGGGCAAGAAAATTTTTTAATAAGGCATGGCTGCACATGCCTATAATTTTAGTTTTTGGAGATGGAGACAGGCAGAGCCTAGAGCTCAAAGGCCAGCCTCAAAATGGCAGGCTTCTCATTCAGTGAGAGACTCTTTCTGAAGGCAGTAAAGCCTAGAGAGCAATAAAACCTTTGATCACCATAAATACCATTGCTGCATGCTCATTTCATACAGCACACACACTGAAGACAAAAACGGAAGGACTAGAGATGTATCTTAGAAGTAGAACACTTGCCCAGAATATCCAAGCTGGTGCACAGGAATACACACACACACACACACACACACACACACACACACACTGTTTTCCTCCCTGAGATGTTGGCATGAGGTCTTGCCTACCTGAGATGCTCTTCCGGTGACTGTGGACTGGCTTTTTCCTAGATGACAAAGCCCTCATTGCCCTTTTCACATCCATGTCCTCTGGATTCCCACACACTACTTTCTGTCGGAAGTAGAATCTACAGAGGGGTGGAAAGATGGGTGCCGAGTTAGGACATGAGGACCTGAGGCAAGCCTGACACCCTCCCAGCAAAGGGAGGTCCTGCTCACATGACAGCACGTAAGTTGCAGCTTCCACTCACTTCCTGCCGGTGATAACTCCTAGCATGCCGGAGAATATTCCATCTGATCCTGGGTTGGTAACCCAGGCAGCAGTCTTCAAAGGCACCTACAGAGTAAGTGAGATGGCTCAGTGGGTAAAGGTGCTTGCCACCTAAGTTCAGTCCCCAGGACCCACATAATAGGAGAGAATCACAAATTATCCTCTGACCTCCACACATGTGTGGCACATGCATGCAGGCGCACACATGCACATGAGAACTACAACACACACACACACACACACACACACACACACACACAGTTGTAAGCTCTAAGTGAGACCCCAATACTATTATCCTAATAAATGTAATAAACTGTCCCCTACATTTTTATCTCCATACACATGTGGCACATGCATGCAGGTGCACACATGCACTTGAGAACTATAACCCACACAGTGTCATAAGCTCTAAGTAAGAACCTAATACTATTATTCTAATAAATAAATGGACATAGCAATAAACTGTACCCTATATTTTTATGCATAGTTCATAGGTTATACCCTTATCAGAGATGCTTCTTTTCGTAGTAGATGGCGGTTATCCCAAAGACGCACAAATGATCAACTTTCAGGAAAAGAGACTGAAGAATTCCCAGCTATAAATGAGACATCTACATTATACTCCCTAGCCACAAGGCTCAAGGATTTTCTCAGAAGAGTGGGAGCAGGAAAAAGACTCAGAGGAAGTTGATGTCTTCAGGGAAAGAGCAGTTGCTGGGCATGAGGAGGTCACTGCTGCTGTAATGAGTGCATAGACCCACCCAAGATCAAGACAGCTAGAATCCATGGGTGAATGGGTAGATGACCAAGCCAACTCAGTCAGTCAACAGGGTCTCCAGGGAGGGAGAGAGGATTGAAAAGAAAAGGACAATTAGACAACTATAACATGACCCCAGCCAGTTCTAAAGCTAAAACGAGTTTATTTTTTCCCAGTCTGCTTTTCTATCATTCTAGGTACATACAAAGAATATGGTCAGAATGAAAATGAGGGATCTTGGAGTAAGTACCTGGGAACACTTCATCTCTACCCATCCAGCTCCAGTAATGCCAGGAATTCTTTCTATGACCAACCTCCCAAGAGCCACTGAAGAATTCAAAGGATACAGGATATAGGGAGATTTAACAAGTGGAGAAGGACAAATGAGAAAAGAAAGCAATATCCCAAAATTTCTTTCTTTTTTTTCTTTTCTTCTTCTTCTTTTTTTTTCGTTTTTGGTTTTTTGAGACAGACTTTCTCTGTGTAACAGAGCCCTGGCTGTCCTGGACTCACAGGGAGATTTAACAGCTATGCTGAAGCTTGTTGACCTAACAAGAGCTTAAAGAGTTCTTCTTGGTACCAAGGAGCCATACACCACAGACATGAATTAGACCTAATGCCTCAGGAGTTTTTCAACCTCGTGGGGAACGCAAAAATGTTATCTACACAGAAGAAGGATGTGCTGGAGCTGGAGGGGGTACCCAAGGAGGAGATGATTCCAGAAAGTTCTGAGGAGAGGAGCAAATAAAAAGTTGATAAGACAGTGGGTTCATCAATCTGAGGTCAAGTAGAGCCCAGTGGTGGTTCAGGGACAGAGTTCATTCTCCTGGCCATGACTCCACCTTGGCTCTTGAGGACAAGGGGCAGCGGTGTCAGATAAGAAGAAATGGGGCTCCAGGGATCCTTGGCAGGTGTTTTCCAATACTGGGGGCCGCTTTTCTCCCAGGATCAAAGGGCAGAGGTTGGGTGTAGCTCTGATAGCAGAAAGGGGAAAAAAAGAAAGCCAAGCTTTGTCTTTCTACAGTTATTCTGGAAGCTGGAAGGTGCAGGACCTGGCAGAAGAGCAGGCAAGGCAAGCTGGGATCCTGGTCCTCGGCCTGGCCTGGGATCTTGCCTTGACACCTGCTGGAACTCCATGGTTTTTTTCAGAGATGAAGCACCCAGTGGCAAGACTCTGGGGGACGCTGCATGCCGAGAACTGGCCTGGGTAACTGAATCCTCTAGTACCTGCTCTCCAAGAGGGCAAGATGGTTCCCTGACTGGGAATAGTTTTGCAGCTGGGAGTATTTTGCAGTTCATTGGATCCTTAAATTTTCATTCCTGTTTAGCAGATGTGGAAACTGAGTCCCACACAGAATAATCTTAGCCCCTTGCCTAGATGGCACAGGGAGAAAAGGCAGGGAATCCAATCTGAAGAGTCTTCGGGGTTCTGAGCTTAACCTCACTTCCCTAACTAGGCAGAAGAAGGGCATCAAAATGCATCCCGGCTGTAAGTGCATTTCTCCTCAATTGGAATCCACCCTCTGGTTCCTGTATCCCCTAAGCCTCTTGAGTCTTGTAAAGGAAGCACTTCAGAATGAAAATGAGGGATCTTGGAGTAAGTACCTGGGAACACTTCATCTCTACCCATCCAGCTCCAGTAATGCCAGGAATTCTTTCTATGACCAACCTCCCAAGAGCCACTGAAGAATTCAAAGGAGACAGGATACAGGGAGATTTAACAAGTGGAGAAAGACAAGTGAGAAGAGAAAGCAATATCCCAAAACTGGAGCAAGGTAGGTATAGCTAAGGACAATACCTTGGGCATGAGTTTCCGGCATCCAGGCCCCAACAAAGCAGGCAACCAGGCAGGCAAAAAGCCACAGTTTCATGGTGAAGAGTGGATGTCCTCTCTGGGTACCTGAAGGTTTAATGGGGCCACCTATAAAAGTGGAAGGGAGTGGAAGGGAGGACATCAGTATCTCAAGCCAGCCCCTGGAACTCTCTGAAAGAGAGGCAGGTGGCAAAGGACTTGCTCTAGCCTCTGCTCTAATCAGAGGAGGACTCACCGATGCCTTTCTGGTCCTGAGAGCAGGTTCCTGCTTGTAGGGTGTAGTGCCTATGGGATCAATGAACTGGCTTCATTCTTTATAGTCAGAGCCCCACCCTGCAGTGACCTGCCCTCTTCTTTCCCTCTCTCCTTCTGCTCCTCCTCTGTACCAGCTCTGTGAGACATGGGACTTCTCTCTCCTGCAGATAGACCAAGTCCAATTTTACATCTGTCTCTCCAGGTTACATGCCTCATGAACCTTGAGGCACTGTATGTAACCAGGCCTCTCAATCAGCATCCCCTCCCAGTACCTTATTATATGAGGTCCAATACCATCCCCAGCCCTCTCCCTTAAAAGCTTTTTATTCCATCCTCTTATGGATCCTTTTATAGTTAACAAGCTTTAAATTTTTTATTATTTCTATTTTTTATAATTCTGTACACTGGAACGGGGCACTCACATAAACCATGGCATATCTGTGAGGTCAGAGGACAACAATCTATTCTTTCCTTCCACCTTGTGGGTCTTGGGGATGGAACAAAGGTCATCTGGCTTGGTGGCAGGTACCTTTACCCACTAAGCCAAGGAGCCATTCTGCCTTTTCTTGCTCTCTTGCTCTACCCTGGCCTTAACACATTTTCATGAAATTTCATAATTTCTTTCTTTCCCTTTCTTTTCTTCTTTGGTTTTTTTTTTTTTTTTTTTTTTTTTTTGGTTTTTTGAGACAGACTTTCTCAGTGTAACGGAGCCCTGGCTGTCCTGGGGCTGTCCTCACTTTGTAAACTAGGCTTCTCTTGAACTCACAGAGATCTTATTGCCTCTGTCTCCCAAGTGCTGGAACATAATGTCATTTTTAATGGATGAATAAAATTCCAGTTGCTGGAACACTTTTAAATTTTTATTTATTTGAGGGTTAGGGGCATGAGAACCACGGTGATCTGGGGGCAACTTTGGAGAGTCAGTGGAGCTCAGGAGTCAAATTAAGGTCATCAGGTTTAGCAGCAGACACCTTCAGCCATCTCCCCATCTGGAAAAGTACACGTTCAATGGGGCAGTAAGCGACAGGGAAATTTTTTCCAATATTATAATGAGAGTCATTCTAACAAAACTGTTTTCAACCACAACACTGGAAAGAAAGCAATGTTCTGGTTTGAAATGTGAAGCCAGGAACCAGGTAACGGCGTCTGCTGTCTTCAAGAAGCAAAAAAGATTAATTTTGAAAGCATTTGTTCTTTCCTTTCGTTAACTTGACCCACTGGGGGATGGGGGCAACCTGTTGAGGAAGATGAGGCTAGACGGGGCGCGGCGGGGAGGAGGAGCAGGGAGGCCTGCCACAAGAACTCACAACTAATCGCTTTTAACTTTTTATCACCTGCATCCGCAGCTGGCTACACCAGTCCTCTCTCTGGGTATTCCTCACACTCTGAACCTCTTGATGTCTCCTGCTGTATTTAGTCCTACTTAGTCGGGGCCTTTTGCCCTCTCCCACCTCCAACCCCACTCCCCAGGGTCTTGGGAGGACGCTGGCCAGCTGCAGGTAAGTGAAGCTTAAGGCCTCGCTGGAAGGTTAAAGCTTAGAGCTCCAGACAACCAGGGCAAGCCATAAAGCTGAAAAGCTGCGGTCTGGGTTTGGAGAATAGCAGCAGGGGGCGAGTTTTGAGGAATGGCACCTGAGGATGGGTCTTGTTGGTAGAGATTTGAGTAGTTTTGGTGGGTAGAACTTACAGCCAGTTTTCAACTGAGGAAGAACTAAATAGAAGAGCTTGTGGTCCCAGGAGGCGCTTTCTGGGTGGGGCTTACTCCGGGGGCGTGGCGTGCAAATCCAACCACAGCAGCAGAGGGGATGCAAGCCCCCACCCCTACCCTTCAGATCCATGAGCTTCTCAGGTTCCTAGGCCTCTGGATCTGGGTGGGTGAGTCTGGGGTAGGACGCCGCTCCGCGTGGCTGCAGGCTTGGAGACGCAGCGTGGCAAACCAGTACCTGCTGAAGCCAAGTGTCAGGGGGAGTTACAAGGAATGCGTGCCCATTTTCCCAACTTGGGGGTCAGGGCTTGTCCCACCAGCACCCTTCATGGGGAAGAGGAGAGGAAGTCTAAGCGAGTAGCTTTGTACAGGGACATGTGTCGGCTCAAGATGTAGGTACAGGACTGCAAACAGGAGACAGGATGTTCAAAGGTCTCAAGGACCTGAATTAAAGACAAAGTGCACAGATCCGTAATCCTAGCATTTGGAGAGACAGATGAAAGGAAAAAAAAAAAAAACCAGAAGTTCAAGGCCAGCCTAAACATCTCTCTCTCTCTCTCTCTCGCTCTCTCGCTCTCGCGCGCTCTCTCGCTCTCACACGCCCGCGGGCGGGCGCGGGGGCCG